ATTAGCCAGATGTGGTGCTGGGCACCTATAGTCCCAGCTACTTAGGAGGATAAGATGGGAGAATCACTTGAACCAGGAGTTTGAGGCTGCAGTGAGCTGTGACTGCACCCCTGAACTCTAGCCTGGGGGATAGAGCAAGACCCTATCTCTTAAAAAAAACAAAAAAACAAACAAACAAAAACAAAAGGTTGGGTGCGGTGGCTCACACCTGTAATCCCAGCACTTTGGGAGGCCCAGGCAGGTGGATCACCTGAGGTCAGGAGTTCGAGACCAGCCTGACCAACATGGTGAAACCCTGTCTCTATTAAAAATACAAAAATTAGCCAGACATGGTGGCATGTGCCTGTAGTCCCAGCCACTTGGGAGGCTGAGACAGGAGAATCACTTGAACCTGGGAGGTGGAGGTTGCAGTGAGCCGAGATGGCGCCATTGCACTCCAGCCTAGGCAACAAGAATGAGACTCCGTCTCAAAAAAAAAAAATAATAGAGTGGGCACCCACAGTGGCCAGCACTGGGCCAGGAGCCAGGATGTGCACTCTACAAGACTCATGATCCAGTAGTACCCCATGTTAGAGAGTGAGGTGTGGCAACTGCTGCCTTCACACACTGCTGGTGGCAATGTGATCTATTCCAGACACTTTGGAAAATAGGTTGCAGTTCTTAAAAAGCTAACCATCCTTCTTACCATGGGAGCCAGCAATTTTACTTCTGTTATTTACCCAAAGAAACAAACAGGTACGTCCACACAGGATTGTCCCTGAATGTTCATTTCAGCTTTATTCATAATAACTGTGACTGGAAACAACTCAAACACCCGTGAGCAGAGAGACTGTTCACAAACCATGGCACATCCCTGCACGGAACACCAACAGCGGGAGAAGCAACTGGCACACACGGCCACCTGGATGACTCAGAAGCACGGTGCCAAGGGAAGCCAGACACAGAGGAGCACTCCGCAGGACCACGTTACATGAAATTCTAGATCCGGCTGAGCACATTCACAGTGACGGGAAACAGATCCTTGGTTGCCTGCCAGGGTGGGGATGGGGGCTGACTGCCAAGGGGCATGGTGGAAATGTCTGTATTTTGATTGTGAAAGTGGTTATAAGGGTGTATACACTTGTCAAAACTAATTACATTGTACACTTAAAAGGGATGCCTTTTACTCTATGAAATTATGTCATAATGAAGTTGATTTGAAAGAAAAGACCCTGTTGGCTGGCGCAGTGGCTCATGCCTGTCATCCCAGCACTTTGGGAGGCCGAGGAGGGCGGATCACGAGGTCAGGAGATCAAGACCATCCTGGCTAACACGGTGAAACCCTATCTCTACTAAAAATACAAAAACTTAGCCAGGTGTGGTGGCGGGTGCCTATAGTCCCAGCTACTCAAGAGGCTGAGGTAGGAGAATTGCCTGAACCTGGGAGGCAGAAGTTGCAGTGAGACAAGGTTGCACCACTGCACCCAGCCTGGGTGACAGAGCGAGACTCCATCTCAAAAAAAAAAAAAAGAAAAGGCCCTGTCCCTGCTTTTATGAAGCCAGGGGTGGAGGACAGGGGTGAGGGGTGTAATTCAAGTTATGACAGAAATGCACGTGGAGTCACAATCTGTGATGAAGCCGCAGGGACTCTGAAGACATCACAGTGTGAACTGGCAGCGTTTGGTTGGCAGTGGGGCAGGGGGCTGGGGCCAGAGGGAGAGCCCCAGGGTCGGAGAATGGCTTGTGCAGATGCTGTGCATAAAAGACAAGGACTTGTAAAACAGAAAATTTAGGCCGGGCGCGGTGGTTCACGCCCGTAATCCCAGCACTTTGGGAGGTCAAGGCGGCGGGATCACCTGAGGTTGGGAGTTTGAGACCAGCCTGACCAGCAGGGAGAAAACCCATCTCTACTAAAAATACAAATTCAGCCGGGTGTGGTGGTGCATGCCTGTAATCCCAGCTACTTGGGAGGCTGAGGGCAGGAGAATTGCTTGAACCGGGAGGCAGAGGTTGCAGTGAGCCGAGATCGCGCCATTGCGCTCCAGCGTGGGCAACAAGGGCAAAACTCCGTGTCAAAGAAAAAAAAAGAAGAAAGAAGGAAAAGTTAGCCGGGCATAGTGGCATGTGTCTGCAGTTCCAGCTACTCGGTGAGGCTGAGGCAGGAGGATTGCTTGAGCTCAGGAGTTCCAAGCTGCAGTGAGCTATGATTGCATCACTGCACTCCAGCTTGGGCAACAAAGTGAAACCCCATCTCTAAAACAACAACAACATAACAAAAATAAGGACCCAATGCAGGAGCCCCAAGAAGCCAGCCTGCTGAGGGGAACGTTGGGAAAGGTGGGGAGGGGAGTTTCAAGACAACAGAGATGGGGTCCAACCTGGGACAGATCATTACCGTTCTCACTAGCATCATGATCATCACTACAGTCTTCTTCTTATCACCAAAGCAACACCTCTCCAGTATAGAAAAAAGCAGATGGCAAAAAGAAGGAAAAGAGTCCGGGCGCAGTGGCTTACACCTGTAATCCCAGCATTTTAGGGGGGCCAAGGGAGGCGGATCACTTAAAGTCAGGAGTTCGAGACCAGCCTGGGCATGATGGCAAACCCCCTCTCTACCAAAATTACAAAAATTAGCTGGGCGTGGTGGCACGTGCCTGTAATGGAATCCCAGCTACTCAGGAGACTGAGGCAGGAGAATCACTTGAACCTGGGAGGAGGATGTTGCAGTGAGCCGAGATCGCTCCACTGCACTCCAGCCTGAGCAACAGAGCAAGACTCTGTCTCAAAAAAAAGAAAAAAGAAAAAGAAAAACCTCATACTTCCATCCACGATCCTGCCTCACTCAGATTTCTGGTATGTTCCCCTCCAGACCTTTCCTATTGATTTAGGCCTTGAAGGACAAAGAGCAGCTCACCAAGGAGGGAAGGTGCTTGGGCCTGAGGAGCAGCCTGGATGATGGTGGGTGGTGGAGTGAGCTCCATGCAGAGGATCCTGCTAGGAGTCCTGCTCCTCTATGCCCTGTGAGTTCCCCAGGACCAGGGAGAGAAGGCCAGGCCACAGTCCCAGCCGCAGTTAGAGGTGCAGAGTGACTGGAGGGAGTGAGAGGGGAGGGGTTCCGGGATTGGGGCTTTGATGTAGGAAGGCGCCACTGTCCGCCTGGATTCATGCCCTTGGGCTTACTCGCTCTTGACTTGCAAACCACAAAACAATTTTCTTTTTTTTTTGAGACAGAGTCTCCCTCTGTTGCCCAGGCTGGAGTGCAGTGGTGCCATCTCGGCTCACTGCAACCTCCATCTCTTGGGTTCAAGCAATTGTCCTGCCTCAGCCTCCCAAGTAGCTGGCACTACTTGGCACACGCCACCATGCCTGGCTAGTTTTTGTATTTTTTAGTAGAGATGGGATTTCACCATATTGGCCAGGATGGTCTGAAACTCCTGACCTCGTGATCCGCCCACTTCAGCCTCCAAAGTGCTGGGATTACAGGCGTGAGCCACTGCACCTGGCATCAAACCACAAATCTCTTAATTGCATCCAGCAGTGAGTAGGCTTAGACATCTTTCGGGAATCAGCCCCCACCCTGGGCACTCATGTGTCTTCCACATGGCCAGATTCCTCTCCAGGCAGTGCCTGCTAAATGTCTCCTGGTGTCTCCAACACCCCTATTGTCCTTCCCTCTGCTGGTCGCCACTACAGTAAAACCCTTCTGTTTCTAATCAGTGTCTTGGCGCTTTCTTGGCCAGCTGGAAACCACAAGCAGCAGCAACCTGGGGGGCCTGGAGGCAAGGGCCTGGTTTGGGCCCCACTCTGCCGCTGACCTGCTAAGAGACCTGGGGGCAGCTCCCTCTTGGCACCCCGGGTTCTCCTCCACTGTGGTACTGTCAAGGAGAATTAAAGGCTGTGGCATGCTTTCACTTGGTAAAGACCCTTCCCGCACTGATGCACCTCCCGCCCCAGCACTGGGGGACTGAACTCAGCCCAGCTGGGGGGCACGTGCAAGGCCCTCCCCCTCAGACCCAGTAACCCACTCAGCTGTGGATACCTTTCAACACAGGACCCTCAGCGACGCCTCAGGGCCCTCGTCCAGCCCTGCCTTCCAGCAGGCCCCCCGCCTAACCCCCTCCCCCACCACCGAAGGCTTTTTGTTGCGGCTGCTGATTTGCTGCACAGTTTCGTTCTTTCCATCTGGGGTTTGGAAGAGCAGGTTATCCAGTGCTGCTTGTTAGAGCACAGTAAGGCAGAGATGTTCAGGCCCCTTATGATAGGTGCGGGGACCACTGCAACAGCATCTTGCAGTCGGGGAGAGAGTGGGCTCAACTCCGAATACAGCACGGGCAAGTGAGGATTTACATACAGCCAAGGAGCAGGATGGGGAACAGCAGATGCAAAATTACTAAGAGAAAGCACTGGGAGTAAGGGATGCGGGCTAAACCAGCCTAGCAGGATGCTTGCGGAAGACAGGCCAGGATGCTCAGACACCACCTGGGGGGCAGAGGGAATGAGTAATCTAATTGGATATCAAGGGTGGGGTAAACTGACTTAGAAGAGTTCTTTGCTAAAACTCGGCCATACGCAGTGGCTCATGCCTATAATTCCAACACTTTGGTAGGCTGAGGCAAGTTTATCACTTGCCTCAAGGATTGGTCAGGAGTTCGAGACCAGCCTGGCCAACATGATGAAATCTCATTGCTACTAAAAATACAAAAATACAAAAATGAGCCGGGCATGGTGGCAGGCACCTATAATCCCAGCTACTTGGGGTGGCTGAGGCAGGAGAATCCCTTGAATCAGGGAGGCGGAGGTTGCAGTGAGCTGAGATCGTGCCACTGGGCGACAGAGTAAGACTGTCTCAAAAAAAGAGGAGTTCTTTGCTAAAACGGGATTTTACAAGGAAGTGCACAGATGGGCCTTGGAGAAGTTTCTGAAGTTGACTAAAGATTGGCCAAGCAAAGAATCTTTGTCCATTCTCCTGGTCTGGTGGCATCAGGCAGTTGCTTTAGCTCTCTGGGCTCCTCTTTCCCCAGCCGTAAAAGAAGAACAGAACCGACTTGCAGGGCAGAGGGAGAACAGAGCCAGCCAGTGGGAAGAGGGCTCTCCAGAGCTTGGCACGGAGCTCACAGCAGGTGAATATCTGTCCATCCATCCATGCATTAATTTTTCCCATGTGTGAACAGCTGTGTGTCTAACGTTTGCCAGGAAAGTCACTTTAGACCAGCATAATTACTAACAAATTTCCCTTTCACTCTCAGAAATGTTCTGGCTTGAATGACAAATGGTATTGTTACCCTATTGCCAATGAACCACCTCAATCCTTTTTCACTTTCTTTTTTTTTTTTTTTCAGACAGGGTCTCGCTCTGTCACCTAGGCTGCAGTGGCTTGATCTCGGCTCACTGTAACCTCCTGGGTTCAAGAAATTCTCATGCTGGGATTTTCTTGAATTCTCATTCAAGAATCCAATTCTCTTGGATTCTCATGCTGGGATCAAGTAGCTGGGATTACAGGCGTGCGTGACCACGCCTGGCTAATTTTTGTGTTTTTAGTAGACAATAGGGTTTCACCATGTTGGCCAGGCTGGTTTTGAACTCCTGACCTCAAGTGATCTGCCTGCCTTGGCCTCCCAAAGTGCTGGGATTACAGGCATGAGCCACCATGCCCGGCCCCCTTTCTCACTTTGGAAGGAACTATTTACGTAAGTGCTTGTTTTATGTCACTTTACAGATTGGCAACCTGAAGGCGGGCGTGAGTCAGCATCCCTCAGTAGCAGGGAGTGAGTGGGAGCAGGGAAGGAGCCATACAGATTCCAGATGCACCTCAGATCCTGGTCGGTGTGCTTAGAATTCATCCCAATTATGTTTACATGTCATTCATTCACTCACTCATTTTTATTTTTATTTTATTTTGATTTTTTTCTCTGTTTTAATACACCATTTCTGGCACCATATTTTTATTTGTAATTGAACAGCATCTTGCTCTGTTGCTCAGGCGGGAGGGCAGTGGTGCAGTCTCAACTCACTGCAGCCTTGACCTGGGCTCAAGCAATCCTCTGGCCTCAGCCTTCTGAGTAGCTGGGACTACTGGTGCATGCCCCCATGCCCAACTAATTTTTTTTTTTTTTTTTTTTTAAAGATAGGATCTCACGGCCAGGCGTGGTGGCTCACAGCTGTAATTCCAGCACTTTGGGAGACCGAGGCGGGTGGATCACAAGGACAAGAGATTGAGATCATCCTGGCTAACATGGTGAAACCCAGTCTCTACTAAAAATACAAAAAAAATTAGCCAGGCATGATGGCGGGCGCCTGTAGTCCCAGCTACTCGGGAGGCTGAGGCGGGAGAATGACGTGAACCTGGGAGGCAGAGCTTGCAGTGAGTCGACAGTGCACCTGCCACCATGCCTGGCTAATATTTTGTGTTTTTAGTAGAGACAGGGTTTCACCACGTTGGCCAAACTGGTCTGGAACTCCTGACCTCAGGTGATCTGCCTGCCTCGGCCTCCCAAAGTGCTGGGATTACAGGCGTGAGCCACTGCACCCAGCCCATAAAGGCTGTTTTTTTTTTCTTTTTGATTCGGAGTCTCGCTCTGTCGTCCAGGCTAGAGTGCAGTGGCATGATCTCGGCTCATTGCAAGCTCCACGTCGCAGGTTCACAACATTCTCCTGCCTCAGCCTCCAGAGTAACTGGGATTACAGGCACCTGCCACCATGCCCTGCTCCTTTTTTTTTTTTTTTTTTTTTTCATTTTTAGCAGAGACAGGGTTTTACTGTGTTAGCCAGGATGGTATCAATCTCCTGACCTCATGATCTGCCCACCTTGGCCTCCCAAAGTGCTGGGATTACAGGCGTGAGCCACCGCACCTGGCCCATAAAGGCTTTTAAAATGATGGTTATAGATAACTTTGAACAGCATGAAAAACACTTTAATTAAATGTAAAAGAACCTTCTTGGTTCTTAGGATCACAGAGGCAAAGTCCCACAATAAGCTGTCTGCAAGCTGGCGAGATTGAAAAGCTAGGAGCCTGGCATCCCATCTTATGGCATGAAGTTATATACATACCATGATTATAACCATTTTAACTGGAAATGTGGATTAGAAAAAGTCTGAAAAGACTTTTGGGAGACACTTCTGTGTGGGTCTCAAGTTTCTTTTTTTTTTTTTTAAATTTTTTATTTCCATAGGTTTTTGGGGACTAGGTTACATGAGTTAGTTACATGAGTAAGTTCTTTAGTGGTGATTTGTGAGATTTGGTGCCCCCATCACCTGAGCAGTATACACTGAAGCCAATTTGTAGTCTTTTATCTCTTACCGCCTTTCCACCCCTTTCCCCCATGTCCCCAAAGTCCTTTGTATTCTTCTTGAACCTTTGCATCTTCATAGCTTAGCTTCCACTTCTGAGTGAGACCATATGATGTTTCATTTTCCATTCCTGAGTTACTTCACTTAGAATAATAGGCAACAGTTCCATCCAGCTTGTTGCATATGCAGTATTCTGTCATATATATATACCACACTTTTTTTATCCACTCATTGACTGATGGGCATTTGTGCTGGTTCCACATTTTTCCAATTGTGAATTGTGCTGCTATAAATGTGTGTGCAAGTATCTTTTTTGAATAATGACTTCTTTTCCTCTGGGTAGATATCCAGTAGTGGGATTGCTGGATCAAATGATAATTCTGCTTTTAGTTCTTTAAGTTAGCTCCACACTGTTTTCCATAGTGGTTGTACTAGTTTACATTCCCACCAGCAGTGTAGAAGTGTTCCCTTTTCACCACATCCATGCCAACATCTCTAATTTTTTTATTTTTTGATAATGGCCATTCTTGCAGAAATAAGGTGGTATTGCATTGTGTTTGTTTTGTTTTGTTTTGTTTGAGACAGAGTTTTGCTCTCATTGCCCAGGCTGGAGTGCAATGGTGTGTTCTCAGCTCACTGCAACCTCCACCTCCCAGGTTCAAGTGGTTCTCCTCCCTCAGCCTCCCGAGTACCTGGGACTACAGGTGCTCGCCACCACGCCTAGCTAATTATTTGTATTTTTAGTAGAGACGGGGTTTCACCATGTTGGCCAGGCTGGTCTCAAAGTCCTGACCTCAGTTGATCAGCCAGCCTCGGCCTCCCAAAGTGCTGGGATTACAGGCGTGAGCCACCGCACCTGACCTGGTTCCATATGAATTTTAGGATTGTTTTTTCTAGTTTTGTGAAGAACAATGGTGGTATTTTGATGGGAATTGCATTGAATTTGTAGATTGCTTTTGGCAGTCTGGTCATTTTCACAATATTGATTCTACCCATCCATAAGCATGGGATGTGTTTCCATTTGTTTGTGTTGTCTATGATTTCTTTCAGCTGTGCTTTGTAGTTTTCCTTGTAGAGGTCTTTCACGTCCTTTGTTAGGTATATTCCTAAGTTTTTTATTTTTATTTTTGAAGCTATTGTAAAAGGGGTTGAGTTCCTGATTTTCCATGGGGATGATGTGGAAGTGATCCAGGTGCATGCCACATGCTCAGTAGGTTTGCATCATAGCTGAGGAATCTCGAGCTTAGGAGGTCCTAAACTTTTATAATAGGCTGCAAGCAAACCTGCTGTATGAGTCCGTTCACACATTGCTATAAAGAACTACCTGAGGCCAGGCGTGGTGGCTCACACCTGTAATCCCAGCACTTTGGGAGGCCAAGGTGGGTGGATCACAAGGTCAGGAGTTCAAGATCAGCCTGGCCAAGATGGTGAAACTCCATCTCTACTAAAAATACAAAACAATTAGCCAGGCTTGGTGGCGGGTGCCTGTAATCCCAGCTACTAGGGAGGCTGAGGCAGAGAATTGCTTGAACCCGGGAGGCAGAGGTTGCAGTGAGCCAAGATCACGCCACTGCACTCCAGCCTGAGTGACAGAGTGAAACTCTGTCTCAAAAAAAAAAAAAAAAAAAAGAAAAAGAAACAAGAACTACCTGGGACTGGGTAATTTATAAAGAAAGGAGGCTTAATGGACTCACAGTTTCATAGGCTATACAGGAAGCATGACTGGAGAGGCCTCAGGAAACTTACCACCATATGTTTCAGGTGGGACTGACCCCCTCCGACACCAGTAGCTGACCAGTCAGAACAGTCCAGCCTACAGCTTATAGCGATTTTTTGTATTTTTAGTAAAGACGGGGTTTCACCACGCTGGCCAGGCTGGTCTTGAACTCCTGACCTCAAGTGATCTGCCTGCCTTGGCGTCCCAAAGTGTTGGGATAATAGGTGTCAACCGCTGCATCCAGCCTCTCTTCCATTTTTAAGGATCTTTGTGATTACATTGGCTTCACCCAAATAATCTAGAACAATTGAACAATCTCCTATTTGAACATCAGTTGGGTAGCAACTCTAATTTAATCTGCAGCATTAATTCTCTTTACCACATAACCTAATATGTTCACAGGTTCCTGAGGTTAGGGCGTGGGGAGGAACCCCAGTTCCAGGTATCTCGGCAATCACATGCACTCCTGAAGCAGCAGGGGCTACAGCCTCCCTGAGTCTGGGTCCGGGTGAATTTACACTCTTATTTTTTCACCCCTGAAATAAATCTGCTTTTGTCCATAGCTTCAATATAGATTCAGGAGAGAACACTCAAAAAGGGATTGGACCCCTATCTTCAGCATCCTTAAACAAAACAATTATCAGCCAGGAATTGTGTATCCAGCAAAACTAAGCTTCCTAAATGAAGGAAGGATCATCTTTTTCAGACAACTTATAGGCAGAAGAACACCGGGCTCTGACTTAGCTATGCATTTTCCACGGAAATACAGTTGTCCTTCAGGACTGATTCCAGGATCCCCAGCAGAAACCAAAATCTACAATGCTCAAGTCCCTGATATAACATGATTATATTTGCATATAACCTCCTGTATATGTTAAATCATCTCTAGGTTACTCATAATGCTTAATACAATGTAAATGCTATGTAAATAGTTGTTCAACTATGGCTGGGCAAGGTGGCTCAAGCCTGTAATCCCAACACTTTGGGAGTCTAAAGCTAGTGGATTGCTTGAGCCCAAGAGTTCAAGACAGCCTGGGCAACAGGTCAAAACCCCATCTCTACAAAAAATACAAAAATTAACCAGGCATGGTGGTGCATGCCTGTAAGTCTCAGCTACTTGGGAGGCTGAGGTGGAGGATTGATTGAGCCCAGGGGTGGAGGTTGTAGCCTCCACAGTGAGCAGTGATCTTGTCAGTGCCCTCCAGCCTGAGCAACAGAAGGAGACCCTGCCTCAAAAGAAAAAAAAAAGTTGTTCTACTGTATTGTTTAGGGAATAATAACAAGATTTAAAAGTCAGGACTGGATGTGGTGGCTCATGCTTGTGGAGGCCGAGGCAGGTTTATCACCTGAGGTCAGGAGTTCAAGGCCAGCCTGGCCAACATGGTGAAATCCTATCTCTACTAAAAATACGAAAAATTAGCCGGGTGTGGTAGCACACGACTGTGTGCCCAGCTCGGGAGGCTGAAGCAGGAGAATTGCTTGAATCTAAGAGGCGGGGGTTGCAGTGAGCCGAGATGGTGCCATTGCACTCCAGCCTAGATGACAGAGTGAGACTTCATCTCAAAAGATAAAAAATAAAAAACAAAGTGAGTTACATGTTCAGTACTGATGCAATCATCCATTTTCACTCTGAATATTTTCAATCCACACTTGGCTGAATCCATGAATAAGGAATCTACAGATATGGAGGGCTGACCATACACTTTTTCAGTGTTCTCTGCCTTCTAGCTTGTAGGGTTTCTGATGAGAAATCTGCTGTGAATCTGATAGGTTTTCCTTTATAGGTTACCTGGTTTGTTTGTTTTTGAGACAGAGTCTCGCTGTGTCGCCCAGTCTGGAGTGCAGTGGCGTGATCTCAGCTCACTGCAAGCTCCGCCTCCTGGGTTCATGCCATTCTCCTGCCACAGCCTCCCGAGTAGCTGGGACTACAGGCGCCCACCACC